TATCGAAAACCATTTGGTGATTAACCAAGGGTGGCGTGGTAGACATGTTCGACGCGTTCAGCCGCCAGCACCAGATTACGACCGGCAAGACGGATTTCACTATTCAGTACCTACCCAAATCACAGGTAACATGTCTGTCAACTGTAAGCGCGAGGGTGACGACTATAACCCGCGAAAGAACCTGGAAAAGCTGCTTGCCTCTTGTGGTACCCCAAGCCTGAAGGTGGAAGAGAGTGTCAGTGACGATGGTTCAGTGGTGGCTAAAGTCACGGACACAAACAACACATTAGGAAAAGCATTAGAGCAGGTTGACGAATTTGTCACTAAATATACTGGACCGGACTTAGAAAGTGTGGTGGTGCAAGAAATTCGCAGAAAAACTGGAATGAGGGTGAAATCTGAGGTTTCGAGAATGCTAAATGCTGATGTAAAGGCAGCTGAAAAAGCAAAATTGTTTCTGGATTTTGATTGGGATAAACTTATTAGAGAAAACACGTTGCAAAAACTGTATGTATCTCAACTGGATCTTTACCTTAAACATGCAGGCTACACAGATAGTGACCTACATGTGAAAGGTTTCCCAAAGATAAGAAGATTGAGGTGATCAAAAGGCATTACTATAATCAGGAACATCCAAAGGCGAAACGAGCACCAGCCGTGAAATCATCTCAACGTTTTTCAGGCACGAATAGTAAACCAGCACAAACTGAAAACACCACGTCAGTCAGACAAACGCAAAGTGCTACTTGTCACGTATCCCTTCCACCTATTTCCCCTGCAAACGCAAATCCCACAGCGAATGTCCTTATAAATGTACCTCCTTGGGGTGGATCCGTAAATATACCATTGTATGGTATAAGAACATTGATTAACACGTGCCCCATTGACAACTTTTTAGTGATTTTATATAGTCAACACAAGACGAACCCTGCTTTTGGACTTGAGCTAACCCAATCCACGGAGGCGTATGCGAGCGTGCTTATGAAGGTTTTTGATTCATTTGACAACGGTAATTTCGGCGAAGGAAAGTTCTGGTGGTTACAGCAATTCGGGGGACTTTTGATTTCCGTAACAATGCACGAATAGACGTTTGGGGAAACGAAGAGGACTTATTTGTTTCACGACTGAGTCGCTCATTTCAGTCGTGTTTTCGGAGTCATTGCTCTTCCCCACATTGTCCATCACCCCATCTTGATGTTAACTCCACAGGGATCTGCTTGAGGTAATAAAGAACATACAAGTATATTCTGAATATTTCATGTATTTTTCCATGAAGGTAATACCTTCAAAACTATAAAGTGTATATGAAAAACTTTTTTGTTAGAATAAAGTCAAATTCTCTTATAGCGTTGCCGCAGCCCTCCCAGCACACACAGTTATACAGACAGCCCTGAAAGAATGGCTAGAAACGGAAAAAATCAAAACGACATGCGGCCGATTGTTACCCAGTCTTACACCGCCGAATGCTGATGTGTACTGGAGCTTAACCACACAATTCAATCATTCAACAGGACATGTAATGTAAGTGACCTTTATGTAAGTGCATGCGATATGCATCCGGTGTTATTAATAAGATATTAATATAAAACTATATGTGAGCTTTATATACTATTATGAACAGGTCCTAATATTACATGTTTTGTACTGTTAATAATATATATCTTTTACAGCCAGAAACCGCAAGCGTACTGCAACGGTAAAAGGCAGAACTCACGACGAGAATTTCCACGGGGTGCTCCCCCTTTTCTATTCATTTCCTTGGATCTCTTTTCCCGCAAAGGTATAATTCATAGCATGTCGCAGCTGCCTGGTGAACTTCAATTCATTCAACGGAGGTACAAAAGCCTTTTTTCATCTTGACTTATTATAAAATACCAACTATATGCGGCAGTTTTTCATGTATTTTTTATTAATATCTAGGTACATTCTTTGCGGACTAACATTTTGGAAGCCTAGTGGCCATTACCGTGGTGCATTTCAAGTAAACGGCACTTGGTTTTATTACGACGGGTTGTGGGAGCGAAACTATCTTGCCAGATGCCAAGGCCAGCCAGCCACTCCGGAAGGGTTTCTTCTATCACATTGTCTGTATTTATCAGTTTAATAAACGTCTATATCTCATATTGTGTGTATGTAATGTAATTATATATTCAGTAAACAATATATATAATGGTAATATAAATAGGGCTGTATAATATTAATAAATTATAGTTCACATTCCTTTAAAAAAAAATCGTGCAACACAAGCATGGCTGAAAAAAAAAATCTTGCACAACGTTGTTGCAAAAAAAAATATCCTGCCCGAAAAAATTGCCACCCCCCCTCCCCCATTTTCTAATGGTCCGCCCCTTATCTAAGTATACATAAAGCAATAAAACGCAACCACAATCTGATATAAAGTAACTGCATTTTATGTTGGACACTAAAGTGCCTTATAATGGTTGTCTAATAACATATTGTGACATGAGTGAGGGGGTCTTACAAAGTGAAATGTTTTAACTTTTAACTATAATAAAGAAGACTTCTTTATTACAGTTAAAACATTTCACTTTTAGAATGTTGCGGTAACTACCGTGAATGTAGCACTGTGTTCGGCAAAATAGACATGATATTCAGCATCATGCTATACTATTGTTTAACTGTTATATACATTCAAAAAATGATGAATCTGGGGCTGAAGCTGGTGCAAATTGCACTATTGTTCCCAAGTTGTATCTTGGTATTACTAACTACATTGTAGGCCTATATTATTATTACGACAAATCAAATCTTTTCTAAAACCTGATACTAATACTTGTCAAATGATATTATGAAACCGAGTGTCTTTCAAATAAAAAGTAATAAGTAATTATAAGTAATTATATTAGAGTATCAAAATAAAATTTCAATCTTTGTTGACATTTGTTCGCCAGCGAATAGACAAAGCAAGGTTCGGAAGAACAACCACAACAACGAACTTTAAATACCATTTTCAGGCTTAAAGACGAATAACAATGTTTCAGACCTCTCGACTCTCACGCACTCGGCGTGAGTTTCACGCAATTCGCTTCACTCTCACGCTCTCACGCCACGTTTTGTAAATCTCACGCATTTGGCAGTTTCATAGTATTTTTTCAATGGGAATATATAATCACGTACCCTGGTTCCAGAGGTTTAAAATAAACCTCTGGTTGAAAGCGGCAATTGATTCATCGAGCCGCGCCAATCAGTTTGAATTAGGGTCAGATCCTGACTCTGTCTCCTGATTGGATGATTGGATGATTGGCCCGACATTTTGGCTTTTACCCGCAACTTGGATACAAACAGTGATAGTACGCATATGTAAATACGGCGGACAAAAGGCACAATCAGTCGGAGCAGAATTCTATATGTAAATTATCAAAGGCAAATTAAAGCTCATTACTGTATGTCACAGAAATACAGTTATTATAACTAAAGTGCCTTGTCTTAAAAAGGACGTTATGAAGCAATGACGTATTTCATTAAAAAACACCAACTCTCATAATGTACGAAATGCCATTTCAGACCCCCGGACTTTTACAAAGGTGTCATCCACATCCCCAATCTCACTCTTAACTTCTCTGCAAAGTTGAGAGGTCTGATGTTTATATAATACAATACTTTATTACGCGATACGTATTACGTAATGTTAACAAGTTATCCATTGTATTTATATAGCTCAGTGCTTGGTAACCAAGCCTTAAAGTGATCCCAAAAAATTTTTCTGCAAGGCGTTATTGTCAGTATGTATTGATTACGTCACGTCCACGATCGTGCCCGAGCAGCCCTAAGTATTTTGAACAGTATCCGAAATTGAGGAGATTTTGGTTTCGTTTGTCGCTAAATTTGCCCAAGCTACGATCAAACCATATTATT